GCTCTCCCCCGCGGCTCCGAAGCTCCCCGCTCCGCCTCCCGCAATCTCTGCCCGTGAAGGGGCTTCCTAGTGTGTGGTGACCTTTCCTCCTTCAGAGCTCCCTCCCACTGGTGCAGGTGCCATCCCTATTCTTTTGTCTCTTTTTAATTAATTTTTTCTTTTGCCCTACCCAGGTACGTGGGGAGTTTCTTGCCTTTTGGGAGGTCTGAGGTCTTCTGCCAGCATTCAGTAGGTGTTCTGTAGGAGTTGTTCCACATGTAGATGTATTTCTGGTGTATTTGTGGGGAGGAAGGTGATCTCCGCGTCTTACTCCTCTGCCATCTTTCCACCGCCCCCTAGACTTTGTTTTAAAGTCCACTTTGATATGAGTGTTGCTACCCCAGGTTTATTTTCATTTCTATTTGCATGGATAGCTTTTTCCATCCCCTCACTGTCAGTCTGTGTGTGTCTTTAGTTCTGACATGAGTCTATTTTAGGCAGCATACAGATGCATCTTGTGTGTGTTTTTTTTAATCCTATCTGCCACACTGTGGCTTTGTTTGGAGCATTTATTCCATTGACATTTAAATTGATTGTTAATAGGTATGTATGTATTGCCATTTTGTTGCTTGTTTCTGGTTGTTTTTGTAGTTCTTCCTTGTTCTTTTCGTCTTCTTTTAGCCTCTTCCCTTTAAGTTGATGATTTTATTTAGTGTTATGTTTGAGTTCCTCTCTTTGTCTTTGTTTTCTGTGCAACTGTTCACTGTAGGTTTTTGATTGGAAGTTACCATGAAGTTCATATATTTTTGACCTATAAATATATCTACTCATTTTAAACATAGTCATTTAAATTCAAAGACATTCTGAAAGATATATATTTTTTACTCCCTTTATGTTCTGCAATTTTGATGTCATATTTTACATCTTCTCATATATTCCTTACTTTTTATTGTATTATCATTGATTCATAATTTTTGCCTTTTATCCTTTGTACTAGCTTATTTAAGTGGTTGTTCCACTGCCTTTACTAATATGTGCCTTTACCAGTGAGATTTTTCTCTTCTTGTATTTTCTTATTTCTTGTTTTAGCCTTTTCTTTTTCCCTTAAAGAAGACCCTTTAACACTTCTTCTAAGGTAGGTTTAGTGGTGATGAACTCAATTTTTGCTTGTCTAGGTATCTGTCCTTGAATTCTGAATGATAACCTTGCTGGATTAGAGTATCCTAGGTTTTAGGTTTTTTACTTTCAGCATTTAAAATATATCATGCTGCTCCCTTCTGTCCTGCAAAGTTTCTGGTGAAAAATAAGCTGGATAGCCTTATGGAGTTTCCCTTGTATGGGACTTTTTGTTTTTCTCTTGCTGCCTTTAAAATTCTCTCTGAAACTTTTGCCATTTTAATTATGATATGTCTTGGTATGAGTCTCCTTTGGTTCACTTTGTTTGTGAATCTCTGTGCTTCCAGGACCTGAATATTTGTTTCCTTCTTCAGGTTAGGGAAGTTCTAGTTTTATCAGATTCAGCCATAATTTTATCAAATACATTTTCTGCCCATTTCTCTCTACCTTATCCTTCTGGGGCCCCTATAATGCAAACATTAATATGCTTGATGTTGTATCAGAGTCCCTTAATGTATCCTCATTTAAATTTTTGTTGTTGTTGTTATTCTCATTGGATGATTTTGACTATTCTGTCTTCCAGGTTGCTTATTCATTCTTCTTTTATTTATTTATTTATTTTTGCAGTACGCGGGCCTCTCACTGCTGTGGCCTCTCCCATTGTGGAGCACAGGCTCTGGATGCACAGGCCCAGCAGCCATGGCCCACGGGCCAAGCCACTCCATGGCATGTGGGAGCCTCCCGGACTGGGGCACGAACCCGCGTCTCCCACATTGGCAGGCGGACCCTCAACCACTGCACCACCAGGGAAGCCCCTTATGCATTCTTCTGTATCACTTAATCTCCTGTTAATTCCTTTTAGTGTATTTTTCATTTCGATTACTGTATTATTCAGGTCTGAGTGGTTCATTTTTATATTTTCTAGATTTTTTTGATAAAGTTCTACTGTGTTTCTCTATTTTTTTCCCCAGCTCAGCATTTTTATTACTATTGCTTTGAATTCTCTATCAGTAAGTCATCTATCTTTTTTCATTAGGGTTTTTTCTTTTTTTTCTGGATTTTCATGTTTATCTCTTCTTTGAAACATATTATTCTCATTTTCTTTATGAAATTAGGCAAAACAATTACCTGTCCCACTCTTGAAGGCATGTCCTTGTGTTGCAGCATCCCTATATTGTCTGAGTGTGTCCAGTGGTTTTGATGGGAGATTTAGATTTGAAGTGAGCCTGGGCCACACGTTTTCCTGAGTTGCACTGGCAGCTGCCACCTTGGTGGGAGGTAGGGCTGGAGTTGAAGGGGTTAGAGCCTGAGCCAGATGCAAGCTTGGTCTTCTCCTGGGCTCAGTGGTGGTAGCCACCATATTGGGGGGTGTAGCCAGGGCCCAAGGGCTTGGAACTGCACTACAGACCTGGCTTCATTCCTTCCTCAGTGAACATGTAGGTATAATGGCAATGGCAGTCTTCATCTTAGCAGGAAGCAGTGTTGGAGCAGGAGGCACTGGAGCTGGAGGGACTGAAGCTGGAGCCTAGTGTGGGCTGGGGGGGTATGCTGGGGCTGTCCTGGCAGGACAGCCAGAACACTAGGCAGTTTTCAGTATGCTCCCTCTGCACTGGGATTGGAGGCAAGCAAATCTGTGTGTGTGCTCTTCAGGAATGGATTTTCAGT